CCCATTTTGACCACAGAGGAGAAAGTCGAGACATATTTATCTTCAGATGCAAGCATTTTATTTTCTTCAAACATAACATGGCTTCCGTGTTTCTTCTGCAAATATGCAGGTCTAAATGATTACTGGCTATCCATACTGATTAGTCACTTTTAAAGTGTGATGGCTTAAGAATTTGGATAACTCACCCAGCTATTAAGCACAGTACTATGTGAATATACCCACAGCTGCTGCTTCTTGAGAGACTCTAGTATCTTAAAGCAATTTGCACTTGCTTAGCAGGATAAACCTTCCATTGTTAGCTGTTCTCCAAAAATTAGCTTTGCCATCAACAGCTGCCTAAAGATCTGAAGTTATCAGGACTAAGGCTATTGATGTTCTGCATTTGTCAAAACTATTAATAGCTTTGCTGAAGCACCTGCAATACATCGCTTGAGATAAAATGAAAACTTCAGATGCAAAAGCATACAGTGAGGTCCAAAAAATTCTATAACTGAAACTGTCAGGTAGCCTTGATCATTTTCAAATACACAGTCATCTGCACTGTACACCTCAACATGTTTTGGCACAAGCTTTTCTTTCATTTATCCTTGGAAGGTTTAGAAGCTACAGGTATTATTCACTGTCCGGACAGCAATTATCTGTCTTATCATCATCTTGGACAGATACAGAGGAAGCTCCTGGACTTGAACTGGAAGTGGAAAAAGAAATATTTTAACGTGAAGTTGATCCCTGATTTTTATCTATTCCGCTTTCTTTAGGCACCTACATTGTAAACTAAAAACCACAGAAAAACCTTTTTCTGGTACTTAGTAGTGACTGCCTCAGACATTTATAAACGCAATCTATCAGAAGGGCCTGACAGCCTGCCATTTGGCTCTCACAGTAACTTCAAAAGGCAACGTTCCTAATGAGCAGCTGCAGTGGGGAAGCTGCATTTCAACACCATGAACTGAAAGGGCATAATGGCACTACCGCCAAACCCACCTAATTTACATCCCTTTGCATTAGCAAGGGCTTTAAACGATGGTAATGTGTTTTCCTAAACAAAAGGAGCCAGAGCCATCATAGATCTGACCTTCAAATTTGCTTCTGTGATTTTTATGTCTCAAAGTCTATTTGCCTGGTGGCTCTTTTTTCCCTCCAGGCCTTGAGTGTTGCGATGATAACCGACACATCAGTCCTATGAAAACATGCGCAAAGGACACCACTCAGGAAAGTGGAGATGCCTGGGAGCTGTAGTTCTCTTTACAGACACACCCTCATTCAAGTCACTCCCAGGCATTCTCCTTGGTTTATAAAGCTATTGTAAGAAACAATTTTGTTTCCTGAATGTTTTCAAACTTTTAGATTTACGATTACATTGCTTTACTTATTTAATCTCACATTTCAGATCTCTGTGAGCATAAAGAATTGGGAAAACAACAAAGACACCATCTTTTCACTGCACCTGAAAAATACTGTAATGGCACCTAGTTGAATTCTTTCTGATAGTTCCCTGCATAAAAGCTACAATACACACTTCTGAAGAAGATCACTTCTCCCAGTCTGCTTACACAGGCATTTCTGGAAGTTCACAATATCTTACTATTTGAAAGTGGCGAGTGAAGTGTACAACAGAATTATTATTGATAGATCAAATCACATTTAAGTATACTGCCGTGCTAAACCAATGTTTCAAAAGCCATGTAAGAAAAACAATAAAAGAATTTTGTGTTCTCTATATAAACAGTATCACCAGGTGCACTAAATAATGAGTTAAATGCAGGATGGCCTTTTAAATGGCAAAATAAAATGTGCTTTTGTCTCTTACTAGAGCTATTTTTCTGTTCCTTGCAGACTGATGGCAGCAGATGCACTATTCCCTCCTCCTCCCCCATCAATTGGTTCTGCTTTCCTGCCAGCAAGTCAAAATAATTCTATAGCACTGCCCCCCCCCCAAAAAAAAATCCTGAAACAACAAAACAACCAAACACACACACCCTGCCAAAAAAGAAACAACTCAAAAAAATCCCACACCATACATTTCCTATCAACAAGAAACCAGTCACTTATACCCAATGGCAGAAAAGTCTATCGTTAAAACACATTTCTGGAGATGAGCCATGAAAAGTGAAGGCGCTTTCATCCTGGACAGCAGCCACAATCTTTAACGCTCAAAACCAGGGTATTCAGTACATTACTGTTATAGCTAATATACTTAAAAAACAAAAAAAAAAACAAAACCAAACCCACACCATTCCCAAAATGGAACAGTTAAGCCAGGCCTTTCCAAGTTCAAACATCAAGAGGATAAAATTTATACAAAATACACGTTATTTAGGAAATCATACTTCTCAGGATGTAAATGAAAGAAGGGGAGCCACCTATAAATCAGCTTGTAAATTATTAAAAAAAGTTTTAATTGAGTAGTAGATTAAATAAATCATCACTATCACAGGCCAAAATGTGTACAAAATGTGGAATTATTTTAAAAGATGTAAAGGCATCGTTTTGTTCTGAACCTACCACATAACTGTGGCTCAGACAACAGTCTCTTCAAGGATTCCTCCCTAATAAGCATCTATCTCTTTCCTCCTCTTACATTTAAGCTACTATGAAGCTGTACTTAGGGTTTCTTTATTAGCATCATCATAGCTGCTCCCCCCCTTTCACTGACATCTCTTTCAATATCATAGCTTCCAAAGCCCAAAGCAATAACCTTTCTTCTCCCATCACAGATTGTGGTGAGGTCAGCTGGGAAAAAAAGAAGGGACAAGCTTTAGCAGACCAAAGCATCCTTTAGCGTGTAAAGCATAACTGATGTGTTGGGTGCTGTTTTTACCATAAACAGTGCTGCTGCTTTGTTCTAGCTTTTTAATATTTTATTTGGTTTTTGTGTTCTCCATTTTATGCTGATTTCTCAGTCCAGTTCCAGCTGTGCAACTCCCTAGGCACTCTATGCATTTGTAATTATTATTATTGGATAAACATGTGTTTGAGTGGGGCAACAGATGAGATGCAGATAATTTTTCTTTGCTTACTCCCATCTACTTGCCCTGAAAAAAAAAAAATGCTTTATTCTCCCCTCCCACAGCTGAGAAAGCCTGTGTGAATGTGTCAAGAGAGGCAACAGCTACAGAATCACATATAGTAGTCTGGCATTTTATAATGCTCGAGATCAAGAATGTATGCAGAGATGGTGATTGAAGGGTGTGGCTGAGCCAGATGCAGAGCTGGCTACCGGGAGGAACTATGCTAAAAATGGAAAGACAACACACCCCCAGTTTGTAATTTATAGCCTATATATAACATAAAGATTTAAATTATAACAAAGAGAAGCTATACTGTAATGCTTATGACACAGGAGAGTTGTGTATCATTAAGAACAGTTTTGGGGCTGATGTTAAACAGGTGGCATGATATTGGCAGCAGACTTGAGCACGCTGGTGGCAGTGGTCCGCCATGACAGGAGCTGGAATTAAGCCACAACAGGACAGCAATTCTTACTACATGAGCAGGCAGAGCTATAGCAGAAGTAATTGCTTAAGGAGATAAAGAATCGCCAGTATGGGAATGAGGCAGTGAGTGGTTGTGATAGTTAAGGACAGCACTGAAGCAAGGGGTGAAAAGAAGCTGTGCAGCAGTGAGGTCTGTAACAGCAATGATGGGAAGGAATAACTGGGCTGATGCACTGGGGTACACTGCAAGGACACAGAAATGGGTACACCAGCTATCCGGTGACAGCAGGGATCTGGAGAGCCAGCTTTTCTGATATAGCAACAGTAATTGGTAAGTAGTTATGAAACCATGAGCTGAGAAAAGGCTGCAAGTAGTAAAGGCAATGACAGTTCTGAGGTAAAGATAGCAGGGACAATCAGTGTGGGTGCTTCAGGCCACAATGCTTGCCGCGGAGGAAGGGGGGGGGGGGCTGGAGAGAGTGTTTGACGAGCTGTAGAACAGGATAGGGAGAAAACGCTCATATAGCCAAGAGTGGGCACAGAAGGCTCTGGGGAACACTTCCTAGCGGGTGTGCGTTAAGGACAACGAGCCTGGGGCGACGAGGCTCGCTGAAGGATGGCGACAGGAACGCGGTCTCGCTGGGAGAGGGGGCGGCGTCAACACAGGCGTGGCCGTAACCGCACCCAACCAACCTGCCGTCTCCCGGGGCAAGGCGGGGCTGGCACCGGGCCTTCACCGACGACAGCGACCCAAGCGCCGCTCCCGCTCGGGACCGCCCGCTCCCTTAACTGCACCGGCCCTCTGCCGGCGCCCCCCCGTTACGGCTCCCCTCCGCTTTTCTGCTTTCTTTCTTACACTTGCTCCAGCCCCCGCCTCTAATTGCGATCGCATCTCTCCCCTCCCCGCGCCCGCTGCAATCTCTGCCCCGCACATGCACCGCTTGCAAGAAGGAGGGCGGATGGGCGGCGGCGGAGGCGGACACCGCCGCGTAGCACAGTAGCATCCTCAAGGTTCACAATGAAAGCCGACGCGACAAGGAAAATCCACCGCCTCCTTGCACGGTGACACCATTAACACAGCGCACGTAGCACCCTCTCTGCTTCGCTCGCGTCCTCCTTCCCCATCCCCATTGTCTGGGATTTACTTCACATCAAAAGCCCAGCCCGAAGGAGGCGGGTTCCTGCGGCGGGAGCGATTCCTCCCGTCGCACCCGTGGACAGCAGCGCCAGAGAGCAGAAGAAACCGCTCGCTCACACCCTTCTCACCTATCCTCCTCCTCCTCCCCCCTCCGCGTTCTTCTGTCAAATTCGCACAGCCCGAGCCATCTTGCCCCTCCCGTTCCCACGACAGCCAACAATGTGCGCGAACCAGCCGCCCCATCACGCACACCGGGTGCAGCTGGGGGGAGAGACACCCCACCACAGGCTGTCTCCCTGCCAAACCCAGCAGCAGCGTAAAGCAGGGCAGCGGCGGCGGGGTCCGCCCGACCCCATTGTTTGCGCGGCCGGGTCCCGGCACTACCCCGTCCCAGACCCCAGCAGCTCCCCACCGCCCCGGGGTACCTGCGGTTCCAAGCAAAACCAACGTCCAGGGCAACACGGTGGCTAGCAGCATCGCAGCCGACCGAGGGGACAGGGAGCCGGTCGTGAAATAGCCTTTTCCTGCAGTTCGGAAGAAACGCAGCTCGCTTCTTTTACGTTTATTTTCCCTTTTTCCCCTCTCGCCTTCCCTCGCCGCTCCTCCCGCTGCCGGCCGCGCTCCGTCTCCGTTACCGCGCGCTCCCCACACCGCCTTCTGCCGGCTGCGCTCCGGCCGCGTCCCGGCGCCGCCGCACTGACTGACAGGCGGCCTCAGCACCGCGGCCCGGATCCCTGCGCCACCGGCCTCGCGCCGAGGCTGGCACCGCCGTGTTCTTCCACCCGCGCCCGCCTCAAATAGTACAGCGCAGCCCGCGGAGAGAGGGTCTGAAGCTCCGAGAGGCGCTGCCGGTCCCCTGCGAAATGCGGTGCGGATCACGGAGCCGGCGCCCGACCCGCGGAGGAGGCTCTCGGGCTCGGGCGCGCTGAGGCTCGGGGCAGGGCGGCGGCGGCGGTGGTCCCTTAGGGGGTGACTTTTTGCCATACAGGAGAAATTGATCAGTGCGAGGTTTTGATTTTCCCCCCGGTTTGGCCTGCATATGCATCGGGAAGTACCTGTAGGAAGGCAGATGGGAAACCAAGACAGCAAGGAAAGGACATTTTGTCAATCCCCTACAATCTGTGGGGGCTTTTGTTCCATTTTTGCATTAGAGAGCTGACCAGAGCCTACTCAGAAGGCACAGAGCCAGGAGTTCTCACAGTTCTCCTACTCTCAGGCGTTGTCATGGTTTTGCCATCTCACTTGTGGCAAAAGCCAGGACAGAGCTGTGGGTGAAGAAATGCTGGGTGAAGGAAGGAGGATGTTCACCTTTTGAACCACTTCTGCTAGGCCTCCCTTCACATGGCTCCCTCCAAGTACCCCCAACTCACACAAACAGTACACCAAAGCTGTTCTAATGACTTGCATGTTTGTTCACATATACAGGAAATCTTGAAGTTAAACTTGTCTACACCAACACCCACAGCAGCAACTCTTCAAGATCTGAGAGGCGATGGACACTCAGCTACAGTATCAAGGATCGTGTGAATTCAATATGGGGTTTACAGAAAAAAGATAAAGGTGGAAGTCCATTTTGAACTAGATTTACATTACAATTAACAAAGCCTGTCTTTGTCGGACTATCATGTCTTAACAGTGGTCCTCCAGCAGCTTCCTAAACTACAGGGATTGCTAAGAGCCCTCATTGCTTGAGCATAATATTTACTTGCTTTGGGATCTGTGCTTTAAGGAGGATAAAGTTCTTAGGAAAAAAAACCAAAATTTAAGCTTTTATTTTATTCAGGTGTAGCCTACTGTTTATGTTTTCATTTCATTGGTATTAGCAAAAAGCACTTAAACTGAAGTAGACTTTTGTCATAACATGCAAAATAATTTGGCTTAGTTGGCTAATTGTAGTTGCCATTTAAAATGAAATTAAAAATACCTAGAGTAGTGAACACATAAGGACTGCTAATGACAGACATTTTAGCAGAAAACTGCCAGGTAGAAACCATTTAGGCAGAGAATAGATTGCTTAGATAAACTGACAATACCCTTTGAACACAATTTGACACCAGTATTTCAACAATATTATAATTCAGTCAGTCCATTCCAGTGTTTTGCTGTTAGTGGTCCCAAGGATCATTCCAGGCCAGATCATATTCTTTTATCCTTTTCTGCTTGAGCAATCCCTTCCCCCTTTTCATTTTATAGAAACCTTTCTCTAAAAGAAACAACAAAATTGCTTATTGCACTGTGATTGAAAACATGCCTTCTCTGCTCCTTTGGTCTACCTAGCCTCATACTGGATTGATTATCTGCAGAGAGCAACCTTGCTCAACCATGCCATGGGCTATTACTTGACTCCCTCCTCTCCCAGTTCACACCAGTCCCTACTATTCTGCAGACAAACATTCTTGGACTGTGTGTTTCCCCTTCGCCTCCAACATAAGATCACTCATCCAAGAAGATGCCAATATTAAATTCGGGTTTTGCAGATCGTACAGATGCTCAGCTCAGACCTTTTTGGAATAGAAAACTAGCCTCTCACTAAGAGTATTTGCTTGTGATAACCCTCAGAAGAAAAAATATCCTTTATCCTGACAATAGCCAATCTCTGAACACATTAGGTAGCATACTCTTTATGATAAGAGGAAAAGTAAGTTTGCATCTGTTATCACACAACTTTAGCAGATTAAATCAACTAGTGGCTGTATGAGAGAGGCAGGATCTCTTATCATCCGTCAAACCAGAACATCTTGCGAGACTCCCACCTTGTTTCTCCATCCTTTCAACTGCTGGTTGACAAATGTGGATAAACATACTTGTGAGCCATCTGCTTTCTCCTTGGGTCTCCCCTCCTCCTGCCATCAACTTTCTCAATGAGCTTGTCCCAGAAAAAAGTAACCCCCAAAGACAACAAAACGTGGTTTCATGAGATGTGGTCTTATTTTATACCATCTCCACCAGCTGGATTTCCGGCACTAGGGAATTTCTGAGTCTCTATGCTGAGCAGTTAAGTAAACTCTTGCATTCAGCCAGATTAGTGTCCGATCACTTCCTACAGAGGAAAGAGACTGGGATGCCATACTGTTATTAGTACTGTCAGAAATAGTTTGTAGAATTAGTCTTGGTTCCCAGAGGTCTTACACAAGTGTCTATTTCTTTCCATTCACTACAAAGAACATCCAGATAGACAGCTACCTTGTAAAAATTACACTTATAGCATTCATAATAAGAGATCTGGGAGTGCACAGGTCATTATATATTGAACAAGGAAGCTATAACACTAACTCATAAGATGCAGCTGTCCATTTTTATAAGCAGACTTTCCTATGAAATCTGTCATCATCTCAGCAATACAGCAAAATACTTGCAAAACAGTATTTGTATGTGTTGAACTATAGTCTCACACAGAACATTTAATGTAAGGCAACTCTTTTCCCTAAAAGCTAACATTGCATAACATTGGAACAAAAAGATATGTGAAGAAAGATTGTTACATAGAACTAATAGCATGAATTATTATATACTGAGTAGTTTGTATTAGAGATACAGTATATCTTTATTTCTATCGAGTAATCCTTCATGCAGTAATCCTCAGGTAAGTAAAAGAAAGTACTCACGTAGAAGTCAGTGTAATAGACATCTCAATCCCTCTCCAGCTCTGTGACAGAGCAGAGTACAGGAGAAGCAAGGGGCACCATTTCACTTGTAGCAGCATTCCAAAAACATGAACTACAAGTACATTACATGAAACATCTCCCCCCGTCCTCCCCCTTTCTTTTTTACCATTAACAGATGTGTATGGGCCATGTGCATGCATTTCTTTTCCTTAATCTATAAATTAAAAATGGCATATCACAAAAAATCAATAACTGAAACAAGTTTCAGTTATTGACTTCATTGGGTAGTTTGCACAAAAATGAACAGGCAGTTTGGATCAAGTTTACTCCCAGGTTTAAAAACAGCAGCAATGGTATCTCTGTTAAATTAATGCTACTTCTACTATGCAAATATGAGAACAAGTAAACTAGAGATTTAACTATAAAGGCATTTCACAGAGTAGGTGGAGCTTCAGCATCATAGAAAGACTGCAAAATAACCCTCTGTAGGCAGCATTCCCCTTTTCCTGACACGGCTGTTCACTGGTTGGTATTTGAGGCAGAATTATTACAGGATGCACTAGAAATTCTCTATGACTTGAAAGCATCGTGTGGGGTCAAGAGAGGACTTCAGCTGTCAAACTAAAGAAATAACATAGCAGACAGTTATGTTTTGTAGTCAGTCTTTGAAAAAAGTTTACAGTCTAAAATTGCTACTGAGGTCAAATCCCAAGATTCAAACCTGATGCAACAGGACAGTAATAGCCATTGCTATAATGACAGCTGTTGTATGTTCATCACTGAAAAGCAACATAAATAACTTTTATCAATTTGCCCCTTATGCTAGCATCATTAAGGAGAGGTAGTCTGCAAAGAATTACTTGGGGTTTTCTGAGGGAACCATTAGACCCAGATTTAAAAACCACAAAGTAGACTTATTACTTATTTGTAGGCTACAGAAAATGGGCATAATTAGTGGCACACTAAGGGAATGCGCTTCAATAGTCTCTCTGGTCAAAGCATTGCTCCATGCTGCGTATTTATGATGATGGATAACACCACTAGGCAAAATGCACCTCAAATCAATATTTTTTTCACAGTTAGGCAATACAAGCACATAATACAAGTCCCTTAAAATATCCTTCTCTTTGTCACAGAGTATTTTGTAAGGGAGTCTTAAAGAAAAAAAAAGAAGTATCTTTCCTTCCTCTTTTAGATAGTAAGGCTTTACAAAACTAACTATTAAGGCTCTTCTGGTGATGTCATAAACCACAGGCATGAAAAACAAGTAATCAGAATTTGAGAGGTAGAATTACAGTCCAGAAATTCAGAGTCTTGGCACTAAAACCATCTCTATACCTGGAAAAAACTCTAACACTGATCTCAGCATTTGTCCTGCTCTGGGATTCAGCTTGTCACAGCTGTGCACATCGGTAATTGTTCCATGCACAGAACTAAGAAAATATGCACATGACTGCTCTTAACCCATTCATGAAAATATCCACGCAAAGAGACTTAATGAAGATAGCATGTCAGTTTGACACACAATGGAACTGTCATCCACAATCTAATGGCATTCCTAGACGTTATCTGGCAGTTACTTCCCGTGTAGTTTTGGAAATAAATCTTCCATCTTTGAAGTGACAACTTTAAATTTAACGTGTATGTTTCCATGTATAAAATGACTGCACTTACAGTGTGCAGTAAATGTCTCATTTTAACCTTTTTATTCTGTCCAGTCAAATCTGATGTTTCAATTCAGAAGAGAGACTCTCAGCTGATCAGAATCACAGAAAACAAGAGGGTTTTAAGGACTACATCAGGATTAATTGCCTGTTCTTTTACACTCTTGCCATGGTATCACTAGTATTTGTTTTAATTTAAAACATTACTGTTAGCCAAGGCATTTAAAGCATATCCGTCACCCAGTGCCTCTAAATAATAGCATAACCATCACATACCTAGCTATTTTAAAAGATCAGCTGTTCTATTTTCATTTATACTAATGTTAATGATAAGACTCACCATCATGTTATGCAGAGTAATGCAAGTGTAAAACCAGTATACTCAAAAGTAGAATAGAAGATACTAGAACATTAGGATGTCTCTGGCTAAACATTTGGTAGCAAGTAATAAATGGTTATCTTAATTGGAAAAATCCATCCCTCAATCTGCTTTTATTTAAAAATGTATAAATATGCCTGACAGGAACATTCAAGCACATACGAAAGTTATGAGAAACCACATTCTATCAACATGGAGCTCCATTTCACATTTAGTCACAAGCTAAACAGATTTTTTTCCACTGAACATATCTAAAGCATAAATAACCAGAATTGCTGCAGTTAGCAACTTAATGAATGTTTCCCCGTCCCCAAACAGTAAACAAGTTACCCATGAGAAGCATAAAAGGTCTTTTATAACCCTTTGCTCCTCTTCTTCCTTGCCACAAGAGTGGTACCTGCTTCTATCCAAACAGGGCAAAGGTAGCTCCTTAGAGCTCAAGGCTACAGAAGTTGCATCTTGCCATTCTTTCCATTTCTGCACAATCAAATTGGACCAAGTAGGTGACATAGTAAACAGAATAATGCAATGGGGGATGTGTGCAAGTTATAAATAAAATGTAAGCTTTTGTCTTCATTAGGGGAGAAAATAAAACCAGGGAATAAATGGAGATTTGAAACTATGGCAGTAAAGGAAATGCAATGTTAAAGAAGCAATAATAGCTCTGCAAACAGTATTTGCATTGTTTTGTAACTGGCATACAGCATGTATTTTGGAGAAGACCCATCTGCAATGTAGCCCGAGAAGACTGCCAGTTGCTGGGGATATTTCCCCTTAGAAGACTTGGTGCTATGAAACTTCATGCTCAGAATCCCCTCCATCAGACCCAAAAGAGGGTCTTCGGCTTCCTACTAGGAGCCCTCACTGTTCCACTTAGATTCTATTATTTACACCCTGTTCTTAAAGAGTAACCAGAAGACTTTGTCGTCTGCTATTCCACAAACTGTCCAGTTGTATCACCAGCTAAAGAACTGCAACTACCTCTGAAGTCAAGTTGTCTGAAACAACTTGAGCAGTACTAGTACAGTGCCTTAAACTTCCCTCTAGCTGAAAGGCATCTAAGCAGGATTATGCTGATTGCATAAAAACCCCACAGGTAGACAGTCACTCAAACAGAAGAAGGAAAAATTCCACTTAAAAAACACCCCTGAGCATAGTTTAAGGCAACACACAGCATTTTCTCCTGCCTTTCAGGGTTACCTTCTGTTTCCTCAGCATTTTTAGTTGCAGCTAGATTTAAGGCATAGAAGAATAAGGCTAGTAACAGAATCTCAACCTCTGATTTTGTTTTCAGCCTTATATGTCTCTCAAAATATTTTAGGATAAAAATATGAGGAAAGTAATGTTTCTATTTTTGCATAATGATCTTAAGATGGTGCTGAAATGCAGTGAGAAAGAAAAGGTCCTAAAAATGTCTTGCTGTTGAGGCAGATTCATTGTTCTTGAACTGAATAGATCCTCTGCTTTATTCCCAAAGACTGGATCAAGGCTTGGGGATACATAATACCCTGGAACCAGATCAGGTTGTTTTGAGGCAACTACTCAGACATATCTGAGTAGTTGCCTCATGCAGGATGTTAAAGTTCAGCTCTGAAATCTTTTGGCACTACATTAATATTTTAATCTTTGCCATAACCACTCTGGTAGCATACGTAAGGTGCATGTTCTCTTGTGAGAATCACCAAGTGATGCCAATACAGCTGCTTCTCATTCAATCCAGATTATGTTTTTCAAAGCTTTGTCAGGTGAACCATGCCTTGATTTCTGAAGTCAGGTTTTATCACTGCTGTTCTTGCACTCTAATCTCCATTCCAGATTAGTATTAAATAAACTCCTGAATACCAAATGATAGAATGCAGACAAGCTCTCTCTCCATGCACTTGCAGGGCAGGGCATTGTCTGTTATATAAAGCATTTCACATTAGTAGATGTGGCAGTTCGTATTTGCACATACAGGTAAAAGGTCTTAGGCTAGCATAAATGCTAATCAGGCTGTCACAATAGGATTAGGGTGATGTCTGGGATGCATGGTATTAGCTCTCTTCACAGGATAAGTTTCATCTCTAACGAGGTAGTTGTTAGGTAACACATAAATGGCTCTGTGCCTATAGTAATAACATGAGCAATACAAGATGATGCATTTCTTTTGCAGATGTCTACCATCTGCAAAGCGACACCAGCTTTTTTTGGAGAAGGGCTGTGCTCATTATGAGAGGAAAAAAAAAAAAAAGAGAAGACTTGCTAACAGTCAGAATCCTCTTTGAAGACGTCAAGATCTTAGTCATGGAGGACAGTTGGGGACATACACTGCATTTGGCAGTTAGTTTGTCCCTAGGGAACATAAGTTCGGGCATAAAGTCTAATCTACATCAAGGAGTTCTTTGTTTCTAAGTATGTATTGGACCACTACTTATAAGTATGACTGATTTCAGCATCCTAGTCAGGACCATAAACAATCTAACTGGTTTCCCTAAGAGTATCTGTGTGACAATTCTCCATCATTCTCCATTTTCCACTGAGTGAAAATTTTTATTTTCAACGATAGAACAATTAGAACAGAAGTCAAACTCCATATGAGAAAATAGGGTCCACATGACATGTAATTTCTCAAAGGGAACAGAAGCACAGAACATACTAACTGTCCTGATGGTACCAGGTCAAACTGTATTAGAAGGGATGTAAAATCTTTTCTTCTGAAAGCCAAGCTATCCTAACAAAGATGTTTTCTGAATAGAAGTCATTGCCTTTCTACAGTGCACACTCCCTTTCTATTTCTTTTTTTTTTTTTTTTAGCCTAAAACAGCGCCTTGGGCATTCTAACCTTCATTGGCACAAGCACTATATCAGAGGAAATGACTCATAATTACACCAGCAATCAATATCTACAATGCATTTCTTTCCTAGTATTACTAAGAGTCAGATATACCCATATAAGCAGGCCATTAAATATAGCCATTTGTAACATGCTTAAGTTTGATACCAGCATTTACTTTATAAAAGATAAAATGCTTATGGAAGCTGTTGCAGTGGGCAAGGAAATCACACTGCCAGTTTTGCAGTTTTCCATCTTGTGTATCTGACCAAGCTTGGTTTCTAAAATAATCCTACCAGCAAGAGTCTTCCGATCCTGAGGGCTGTCGAAAGACTATGTGCCTATGGTCAGGTTGATATTTCTGTAGCAGTATTTGACCTTAAATGTACCTGTGCATTCTTGAAGTGTTACTAAATCAGCAATGTGGTAAGAGATACTAAGGGGTCACACTTACACAAAATGCCAGTGTTCCTTAAGGTACATAACCTACTTCACATAGCTGTTCTGAGTTGCTCCTTAAAGTTAACTGGAAACCTGTGTAAAATGAAAGAAATTGTTGAAGGCTTCCCTAAGGCCTGCAAGAAAATACCTTGTAGAGGGTCTCTGGGGCACAGGGGACACTGGGGTTCTGTGACTACTGAAGCTTTTCTGCCAAGACTTTTGTAGAGTAGCAGCAGGAAATTTGACATTGCCTTGTTTCACTTTACCTTACTCACACTTGAAGGTGCTGGCTGAAAGCTCAGGACCCTGCTGGTCTTCTAAAACTATTTACAGTACTTGGCTTACCTCATTTTCTTGTTCTCCCCTTATCAGCTCTTGCACCATCTTTACAGACACTTGTTTAGCAAACGCTGGTCTTCTTTTTTCTTCCAAGATTAAGTGCCAAAGCAGTACACATGGGCCAAACTTGTGACGTTTTATATGATTTCTCTGTACAGGGAATAGCTATCAGGCAGTGTTAAGAAAGGAATAGAGCTGAAAGCTGGCATTTAAATAGAGGAACGTAACACCCTTAATGCAGCATACTTAGGGTGGGTAACATTTCAGCTGGGTTAATCTCAACATCTAAAGCAGGAGTCAGGAACAGGTCAAATAGAGACACCTGTCAGAGGAGCAGTGGGGAGATGGTATATATCTAAAGTACTTTCTATTATATAATAAATGCATTTTTTGCCCATTGCCCCAGTTCACAATTTAACAGCATGTACAAAGTTGCAAAATAATTCATCTTGGTGCAAGGGAGTTGAAGAACACTGTGTGGTTTTATTGCTAGCATGACAATGCAATCGTCCAAATTTTGCTCTCCATACAAATTACAGAACAAATGGAGAAATAGAGGAATAATATAATAGCAGAAGATTTGGTTTGACATTTCTGAGGTCTGTTTCTGGTGCACAGCTATTCAGTCTGAAAACAGGACTGAGGCCATACCTACTGCCTAGCGAATGGGTCCCCTGCATGTGATCAAACTCTTGTTACTTGTGTATTTATGATACTTGTAGAATTTTATTTACAGATGACCTTATATGCTATAGTGCTAATCACAAATGGCGTTAGCTTCAATGAACGGACTCACAAAGTGAAATTAAAGTTGATCATTCAGAAGTTCTTAGTCTGTTTTTAGCAAATCTGCTGAGGATGAGCAGCACAAGATAAGCAGACTTTTCCTCCAAGATAAGCTTTACTTTCCTGCCATGTGAGATACTCTTGTAGTTAGTGAAATGAACGTTTATTAAAATTTCAATAAATAGTAACTCATAGAAGATAAGGATTTGTCCCAGGACCTTCTCTTGGAACTTTAGTTTGAAATCAGTTTCATGTGAAATTTAGGCTAAGTGTACAACTACCACATTTTTTAATAATGCAGCCACCAGCATTTGCCCTAGCTTTTCTTTTTTGCATAGCTTATGATCTTTTGTGCATCTAAACCAAGTCTGATTTTCTCAGTTGACTTCAGAAAAGAAATAGTTTTGTATTTCTGGATGTCTTTATAGATACTTGAGTAATATCCCAGTTTTAAATTGGTCCTTATGTATGAATAGAGGAGTAGCTTTCTACGCTGCTCTCCCCATCTGTAGCATTACAAAGAGCACTTGTCAGCTGTTTGGTCAGTGCTTGACATAAACAATCACAGATGAGTGCTTCACCACATTTCTCCCTTGAATAGTGATATTCAAGCAAAGATGTCCTTTGAAATCAAACATGTTTTCATAAACAAGGAAAGAGAACAAACCTTAAAGGCATCGTGTTTGTCTTTGGGGTAGCTTGTGAGAGTACTGACAGTAAACAGTTCCTAACAGCATCACTGCAGAAGTAGTATTTGAGCCACCGTCCACACAGAGCAAGTCAAGGGAGACAGAGGATAATTACCTGGCTTTGGCCTCTGCCAAGAGAATTATATGAACACTGTACTTGTCATGTATAACATTATGGGATCTTTCATGTTATTAATTTATTACAGTCATTTAGTAAGGTAAGAACACAGGGCTTCTACTTAATCTATAGGCTGACACCTCTAGCTCCATCAGTGTGATAGCAGGTCAACATATGGCAGCGCATTGTGCCATTCACATCCCTACCAAAATACTTCACACTGCCTGAGGAAGATTCCCTTGTTCTGATAGGAGCTTCATCTGACTGTCTAACCTGCAGGATTACAGGACAGGGTCACAACTCAAAACACATTGCTGCCAGTGGACAGGAGTGCATTCAGACTGTGGTACTCATAGAAAGATCATTTATTTGGTAAATTAATTAAAATATTATTCCCACCAGTTTACTGAAGGAAGGAGATTGCTGTGTGAGCTGCCTGTTTGTTTCACTGTCTCATTGCACACCTAGGATGTTGTCAATAGCACGCACTGCTTCAGTGGCTAACTAGTATAAATTTTTCACAGTAAACTTGTGACATTCAGATCAGTAAAAACCAGAGTTGTTGAAGTGATCTTGCCATGGCATCTGCTTCCTGCATTATGTCTATTATATAAAGCAAAATAAAGTAGGATGCACTGTGAATAGCAATGGTAGCAGTTGGTGCTGTTGGAACTGCTGGCTCCACTTTGCAGCGCAGCATTCCAAGCTTACAGCATTGGGTTGTGCTGCTTAGAGGAAAAAGCAGCTTCCTTTCTGCTCAGGAAGATGCTACCTGTAGGTCACATGAACGTAAGGGAAACTCCAAGTCAGTCTTCTGCAATGACTTGTACAAGCATTATATGATCTGTGTAGGTGACGCATGGAAGAAGAAGACCCATATTTCATACTTGCATTTCTGAAATGTGTTGTCTGAGCCAGTTGCCGTAGGGTTTTTACGGACCGTGGTTTTGCTGTGGATTTAACACAGACTCTAATGCAGATGGTTCTCAGGCTTGACTGGCAGCCATAGAAGCCACTTCAGATATAACAATTTTCATGGTCTTCATCACCATCATAGTTAGAGTTTTCCATTTTATTTTACATACTTACAGATAGGAAAAAAAGCATTAGAGAGCTCAGGAACCTCAAGTTCCTTGACTTCAGAAGCAACTGTGACTAATTCCATTAGACTGTACTCTGACTTAGTTGTCTTACTTTCCAGAGAAACAAAATACAGTGAAAAAATACAATAAAAAATGAAAGGTTTCCCTCTCTCCGCCCCTCATCTGTGAGAGGAAGGTTTCTTATGACTTTGACAGATACCTTGCGATGATCTGGAGGCACCCTGGATCGTTTCAGCCCAGCCTCCCTTACCAGGCTCTGCTAGGGACGCACTAGTGTTAGCCAGGGTTCATTACAATGATCACACATCATGTCTCTCTCTGCCAACTTGGCAAGATGGTGACATTTTTGTTTCAGTGTTTGCCAAACATGCTCTGTGGTTTTGGGGTGGTTTTTTCTGAGTGCTTCAGAGGATTGGTTGTTCTTGGCTTTTGGCTTCTTGGAGAGTCACAGCACCATCTTCTGCCTACTGCTCCTGTTAGTTCTCCCATCCTCTTTCGCTTTTACACTCCAAGCTTTTCTACACAAACCTGTCAATCATGTTTTCAGAGTTCCTCAGGACATTCCTTGCATTTTCCCAGGAATTAATTAAGCCATTGTACCACAGCTCTGCCTGGTCTGACAAACTCAAGTTCACCTTAAGACAAGCATAGGCTCATCCACCAGTGTATGGATTCTGGGATGTGTATGATAATATTGCATAAGGGTAGGGTCCTAAGCTGGGGAAAAGAGAGTAGTCTGATATGCTGTGCAGAGATGAAGGTCATTTATATTTTGCCCTGGAAATCTGTTATTTCCAAAGTCCCTTGGCAGCGAAGGGTGGTTATGATTTGCATCATCATACTGAAATCCAAGTTGCTGCAGACAGAGAGATATTTGGGCTCAGATATCAGTTTTCCTGTATTGGTGCCTTAATCCTACTATGCTACTTACTGTATTTCTCCCAAGAGGAACTAATATGAAAGAAGGAAACCAGGGGCTTACATTACATTTCTGTTTCAGTCCCGATTGAGCTATTTTGATCACAAATTATTTTGCTAGCTACTGTGGCCACTGGTTCTGAACCTCCAGTCTGAGGTACACAGGTTTCTATGAGAAGGCAGTATCCCAGTTATGGTCACACTCACTCAAAACTCTCTTTCCAAAAGCTGGGAATCTGGGGAAAAACAATAGCTGAAACTTAGTTGCTACATAGAGAAAAGAAGAAAAAAAGGAAAATAATATAACTCAAAAGAACTTTCTGAAACAAAACGGTTAGTTAAACAAAATAGTTAAAGACTGCTTAATGAATGCATCAAAAATAGATGTCTGGATGGAGGCTGTTGTGGGTGATTCCCTGGTATGTGAATAAATCAATGCTTTTGGTGAAGAGAATGTAATGGAGGACCTTAAATCCAATTATTAAACTTGCTTTTCGGTGCTATAGCTGTGTTTATCTCTCCTAGTACCTCTCTAGCCATAAAGAGCTCTGTCTTTTTGCTGCATTTTGCTAGTATGGAGTTTTGCCAAACCAGATACCAAAGGGTTGACAAGACACGAGCACTGTTGCTTAGTCCAGTGACCCTCTGGATATTGATTGCTGACAACTTCTGTTACTGTGATCAAGCAGAACCCCTGGGAAGTTCCATGGTTGGCAGGCAGCCCATATCTATACCTCGTGCATAGGGTGTAGGTTTTGGACAGTGCTTTTTTTTTGTGGGATCATGCTTCGATTCACAATGCACTATTAGAAAAACAGTTCAATGGCCAAATGTGACTGTATTTGCGGCACATTGTGTTCTTGTTAATATTTGTAATGAAAAAGATCTATTAATATTTGGAGTTAGAAGATGAATAAACGTAATTATATTTCTAATGATTTGGTGCCGGTGATATGTGATAGTGTTAAAAACCAAAACTGAAATAAATGAACCATAACTGACAAAACACAGACTTTCTGCTGCTACTGAACATCTAGGAATAAAGACTGTAAACTGTGAGCAGGAGACAAAATACTTGGTTCAGAGCAGGTTTGAGTGTTATGAATCACAACAGCTGAAAGTTGTTGTGTTTGAGTGTGAGTGGTGGTTTTGTCCTGGCTACTTTGTAACAACTGTGTGAGTAAATACAGCCTTTCTTGTCATTTGTGCCTGACAAAACACCCTGCTTCCATGAAAAAAGCAGATTCCTGAGATTTAAGGTGGACTGGGCCAGATGTTCCATCCTGTTATAATCTAGAAGCACCTGCGAACTAGAAAATGAATCTTGTCTTGAGGGAAAACACCGCAGTGCTACCTGGGCCCTAGGTTCTCTCAGAAGGGAGGCTTTTTATTCTTTTTCAATGTTTGCTTTTCAGTTGTGGTTTCTTTTGATGAGTTCATTTGCCTTTGTGTGGTTTGTCTGATTGTAAGGCATTCCTCCATAGAAATAACATAAATATTTACATAGTAGCCTACATCAGAAATCTCTTTTATAGTGAGACTTCATTTGCCATCTGCAAGTAAAACTTGCAATTAACTGCAATGGGTTGCCAGCATTAGCATCCAAAAGACGTATCAAATTTACAGGGTGTGTTGTCACAATGATTGCAGTTTCTTTAATGTGCATCTCAGGAAAACATGTAGCCTCTGTACTGTTGAAGGGCAATTTGGGGAAAATTTCTGTTCAAACACACCAGCCAGTGAAACAATAAAAAAGTGAGCTCTGTAAAATGTCCCTCTTGTCCTAGCTTTGATTTGGTTATACATGAGTATGGCATCTGATTGGATAAGGTGCCCACCTGCATGAACTTGTCCTTGGGGAATCTATACTTCTGAGAGAGACACTGAGCTTCAAAGCCTGCTAGATCCAATTACTACACTTCATTTCACAATAAACACACTTGTGCGTGACAACGAGAGTTTCATTCTCAGTCGGGCCTTCCCAAGTGAACTGCAAATTACATGAGGAATCTTTTAGAAGAAAGTCCAAAGCTTACAGTGAGCAAGGCTAAGATGCCAATGGCATCTGAGGGACGGGAGTGCACAGGACTGCCCCAGCAGGCACAGGTTATCTTCCTTAAGCTCTGCCTCTCCAGATATCTTTATTTCCCTGTCCCTGCCCCATCTTATTTTCCCTGAAAGTTTTGGCTGTGGTAAAAAGTGATGGTTGAAACCACCAAAGATGAAGGATAGAAAGAAGTCAGCACCCTTTCTAGCACAGGCCTTCCTGTTGCTATGGCAATGTGTCACAGGAGGCGTGGGTCTCAGAGATAAAGTTCAACTCAGTTGAGCTAAATCTGGGTTTTCTTTGTTCAGATTGCTATCCATTGGTAACAAAGCCTTTTGAATCTTCTCATGAGGGCTGCTTAGTGTTGGATGGCTGTTTGCCAAGAAGTAGCAAAGTAGTAAGGACACCCGTCACTGAAGACATCAACATTTCCACTGTATCCTTTCTCTCCAGAGTGATTCTGTAGTTAGTGTATCTATAATTTATTATGTTGATCTTTATTAACCTTACTGGCATTCCCTGCAGACTCCCTACCCTGTTGCATTTCAGAGTACAGCAGAAGAATCTGACACTGATGCAGCATGAAGGTGAAGGTAAGACTTTCCAAGCATGAAGATAAACCTGTGTGTAGATGAAGTAAGGACCCAAGATTTCATATATCTTCATATATGAGAACTAGATTTCATACATCTGGTTTCTGGCTAACAGACAATGCCACTTCACATTGTCCTTTGGATCATGAAACTCCTAATTCCAATGGGCAGAGCTGTCCTTACAGATGCGGTCATGGCACAGCTTTTGCAGAGTGCTCTCTTGCTGAACCATAACTCCCTGCAAGCAGACTTCCTCCTTCCCACAGTCTCTAACCAGTGAACTGTAGTGAAAGGATGGTTGGACCTGGTTTTCTTTCCTGTTTGTGGGAAGACATATTTGCCCTGGCAGCCTTGCAAGAGCTGCATAGTTTACAGTGTAGCTGTCAGTGCAAACCAACCTTTTGATTTGCAAGCTAAATCTAGAAGAGGTGAAGTAAACACAGTCTGCATGCTATCCCCTCAAAGGATTGTCAGGAACATAGACAGTATTTATGACTAAAAACATTTAATTGTTAAACAGAAAAGGTATTGACTCATAAAATTGAGTGTTTAAGGGTCAAAACTTGAAATACTTAAAAATCAGAGTCAAGCATTGCCTGCCTCTCCCTTCCAGGCCCCCTCCCTGTGGGATACACCACAGTCTGCTCCTTGGGCTGCTCTTTTCATATGCATCTTTCTTGCAAATGGAAGCAGCAGAGCTGCTGTCACTCACTGAAGTTTATTGCCCTGCTCTGTTACCTCTGCTGCTTCCCTCTGGTGCAGTGTGGCTGTCTTCAGGCCTCCTGCTTCTAAAATATCATTTCCTTTGTTTGGCTGAAGCCAGTTGTTTCTGGTAGTCTCTTCTCTTGAGCCTTCTGGCCCTGCAAGCTTCTGTGTCAAATAAAACACAATCCCCTCCACTCCCTCATGCTGGACACAAAGGAAGCCTGTTTGCACAAGGTGCTGTGTTTTCAAATAGAAAGCTGTGCTCGGAACCCAGCAAGAGGTGCAGTGAGGCTGTCAACTCCTTTTTCACTGAAGTTCAAATGCGAGCTAGCAAATGCATGCATGGGCCTTTCCAGAACGCATCATGCTGAATTACAGTGACATGCAGATAAATCCCAATGCTGTGAAGAGGGTTTTATTCTCCTCCCTCACTTCAGGACTCTGTGCATTTCAGCCCCTTATCACTGTGTCATTTTCAGACAGTGCACTGAATTTCCTGTCTGCCAGTTCAGGTTTCAACTGCTCTGCATGCTTCCTTTCCTCCAGGACAAGGGAGTGTTAGTGGGGCAGGGAGTCAGAAAGTCTAGAAACCCCCTCTAAGAAACTCAGTGCCAGAGTCAAGCAGGATTCCTAACTGGGAAAGGACTCAGGGAATTGATCATTTTCTCCTTGCTATCCACCCACCTGCCCTGCCAACGCAAAGAGGATCCAATATCATGTGGGCGTGCTTTATGGGAGGAATGCACAACCATGAAAACAAACATGGTCTAGTGATTAAAGTACACACTGAAATGATCCGCAGAGAGCAGGAGGAAGAGGGGTCTGAGAAGGGAAGTGGGAGCTGGCTTCTGTTCCTGGCCACTGATCTGCTGTGTGACCTGGAGCAAATCCCATCTCCTTTCTGTGCCTGCTTTTTTTCTTTTAATGTCAAATGGGATGATGTCCCTTACCTAGTTCCCAGGCAGGGGAGAAAGGCAGACTCATTACTATTTCCCATATTACAGTTACTCTTGGCAGCTACAGTAGAGGTCAGACGCCTTTCACTGGAACACCTACATGGTTAGAGCCCTTGTCCTGAGCATTAGGCAGGCGAAGGAAGGAGCTGTGCCATGTTGCAAAAGGAGACAAAGGGACTAAATGCTTTACCAAGAGTCATTGCAGAAGCCAGGGCAGACATAGGAGTGGGGCTGCTGGCCACCCAGTCTTTGGAAGAATTCCTCCCCTCAGAGGCAGTATCATTTTCTGCCAGCTGTGGATTTATGTTATTACTGGGTTATTGGTCACCTCAGGCTATGGGACAGAGGCTAGTCGGTAAAGAAGCAGCAGAAATTCTTAGAACAGTATGGAAAATGAAACATGTTGATGTCCTTATGTGAGGCCTTAAAAAAGTGTTTGAGAGCACCGGCAAAGTGTTTTGACACAAATGCAAAGCTATGACATGACTGTTCATCTTTTCTGCCAGATCTAAGGTGCTTTCATGGTATGCTGGGAAACATACGTGAAGTGCAGCAGGGTCCTTTTGAAGCTGCTACCTGTCTGCAGTTGTTATCAGGGAAGTGACAGCTTGTACAGGAGTGTTTCTGCTACTGCGGAGCATTTGCAACTGACAGGGATCAGAAACAGGCAGGTGCCTTCTGAAATGATGCAGCCACTGCAATAGGAATGGGCTGAACACATTTTAAAATCAAACTAACAAGTAGGATTGGAGGGAATGAAAAGTGTTAGCTGGCTTGGAATAGGAAAAACAGCAGGGCTTGAGTAAGAAGCCCAGGTTACTGTTGGGAAGATACAGCTCCAAAGGGAATGCTGTTGTTTACATACATGTGATGAGAAGTTTAGAAAACAGTCTCACCTCCACTCTCATCCTGGCTTGGAGGGTCTCTTCTGTCAA